GAGGGCATTCGGGATAAAAGAGAGAGAAGTGCCGCAGGTCCAGAGGACGTCGGTAGAGGGGGAGGAGGAGGGTTTTGGGCAAGCGGTAGAACCTATCATAGCTTGCCCCGCAAACGGCTGCCACAAAGTAGCTGTCTGAATAATGACCGTGTCGTGGATGGAACCTCGTGACTTGTCGCCTCTACTAGATAAAACACCGGGCAACAAAATGCTCGCCTTCTCTCTCGTCGACTCGCCAAGACATTACCGGTGACACTGGCGACAAGACCAAACACTCGTGCAGCAAGAAACAATCGCAAAAAACAGGTCGATGAACACACACTCTCTGGTTGGGTTTGTACGCAGCAAGAGACGACCGAGAAAAAGAAAAAGCTGCGATAAACACACACACGCTGGATGGGGTATGTACAAGTACGCACTTGTCCGCCCCATCCGCCGCTCCGCCCTTGCTGTGCCCCGGGGTGGTCGAGGGAAGACCTCGAAGGCCTACCGCCGAAGCCTTGTCCGCCGCCAGCGTGGCCCATGGCTCGGTCTCCACCGCCTCCACCGGTGCTGTGCCTCCTCGCTCTGTTGCCGCCACCGCCGCCACCGCCCTGCTTGCGCCAGGGGCTACCGGCACGGGTGCTGCCGCCGCGGCTCATGGTGCAGTGCACCTGTCATAACACATCGGTTCGGGTTAACGGGGAAGACAACAAGAAAGCGTCGTTACGGTTAGAGAGAGAGAGAGAGAGAGAGAGAGAGCAATGGGATGGGTTCTCGAAGGACTCCGACGCATCCATCATCCATCTGTGCCATCACCGGTAGCCGCGGTCCTGCTACATACAAGAGAGGCAGGGCCCCCCAGTAAAATTTTGTGCTCGTATACAGAATACTGCACAGCAGCAGCAGCAGCAGCAGCACTTCCGCAGGTGTGTTGGGGTCTGGGGTCGTCAAAACCGCCGTCAGAAACAAAAAAAAAGGCACAAGAAGCGGTGCAGCGCCGTAAAGACCAGAAAAACCGTACCCCCCCACCCTCCTCCCCTCCCCCTTTTGAAGCCACACCGAGAACACCATCACTAGTAAAGGCAGCAGCAGAGTATCTCTGCTGCGGCGCGTGCGGAAACAAACAGGCTGCAGCAGCAGCAGCAGCAGCAGTGGCAGCGGCAGCGGCAGCGGCAGCGGCAACGGTCGGTCCTCACCCTGAGCTCCGAGATGGTGGTGCCGTTGAGGCCCTTGATGGCGTCGGCCGCCGCGCGCTCCCCGTCCGGCGTAGGCGGGAAGTGGACGAAGGCCCAACATCTCGGGAGCTGCCGTGGGCCGGGGGACACGCCGTTGAACCGGCTCGCGGGGATGACGATGTCCACCACGGGCTCCCACTTGGTGAAGCACTTTCTGATCATCACCTCGTTGACGGCGGACACGTGGCCCTGTGGAGTGGAATTGTTGGCATCAGGCGGGGGATGTTTTGGATGCCTTAACGTTTAGACCATTTGATCGCGGGTCCTCGAGATGGACGGGGGGGGGGGGGGGGTTCGTGAGCTGAAGAGGCGGTGGCGAAAAGCGTGCGAGCGGCATAATTATTTTTCCGTACGAAGCTTCGCACGCGCGGTAAACAAGACAAAACAAGAGGACAATGGACGGCAGTACGCACGTGCCTTGTCCGTCATCTACAACCTCACCGGCGCCAACAAACACGCCGAAGGTGATGGAAGGGCCTCCGACACGAAAGAGTGTGTGGGGCTGTTGGTTGTCGTTGCAGTGCACCGGACAGATACAAAAAGGCGAAAATAAAAAAGGAAACAAAAAAACGGACAAACTCGTATGTATCGCTTCTTTGGTTCGTAAACGAGTTGATTTGAGGTTCATCACCTGGTCGCCCTCGAACTGCACGTGGACGGTGTGGCTAGAGACCTCCCCGCGGGGGTGACGGGAGTGTGCTCCCCCTCCACCCCCGGCGTGCTGCGACGACCCCCTTGCTCGCCCTCCTGTCCCTCCCTCTTTGCCACCGCCGCCGCCGCCGCCGCCGCCGCCGCCGGTGGTCTGTTCTTCGGCGGTGCTCTTTTCCGACCCGGCCGTCTCGGAGGCTTGAGCGCTGGACTCGACGCTGTTCCACTCTGCCAAGAACGAAAGGAGGCGTTTTGCAGTCGTTCAGTGCGCCGTGCGTGTAGGAAAGAAGCAACAAGTGGCACCCGGCCCGCCCGAAAGGGCTGTGTGTCGACTCGGAAATTGCACAAGTCTAATATAATATTAAGTTTTTGGGTACGGTCAGGAGAAACACCCCACCCAGCGGATTCAGAGAGAAGGAAGCGAGGGACGCTTAGAAAGTGCGTGGTAAAGTGCTGAACAGGGCGGAGCAAATGCAGAAGGAGCAGAGAAAGGTGAACGATGCTCGGATATCGATGGCAACCAAATCGCAGCAAAATCAATATCTCTTGTATCATCCACAAGTATGTGAACCCGTTTACCGAACACGCTCTGTACGCTACTGCCTGATGGAGGGTGGCATGAAAAAAAAGTCACCGTTGGTTTGTCAGGTCAGACCGATGATCGCTTCGGCCATGAAACGACGTTCAAGCGTGTATCGCCTAGAACCAGGACCATCTCCGCTCTCATCAACGCACCGCTTGTGGGGTGCCCCCCCCCATTCCCCCCCCACCATGTCCTGCGCAACCGGTGCCACATCTCCACTGAAACTCACCGATCTCAAGGCTGGGGCAGAGGCCATCGAACGCCGGGCGCTCGTTAAGCTCCTTCTTCGCCGCCTCGGCGTGGAGGCGGTAGCGGTACTTCACGAACCCGAACTTCGCTGCGGTGGTCGAGAGAGACAAGCCGAGGGAGGGAAAAGCAGAGCTATAAGAAGAAATCGACACAAACAAAAAAATAACGAGAGGTTTGAAGGCTTGCGTTGAACCAATCGTCCTTGGCACTACAGTACTGGTCCCGGTATAGTCCAGTTTGAATAGTGCAGGTGCCCGATATAGTGCAGGTAAATTCTCTGGACACAGACAGTGCCCTCAATAGTGCAGGTCCTGCACTACTGAGGACACTCCCGCTATAGTGCAGGTTGGACACACACACACCCTACACACACACGGACAGACGCAACACAGCAGTACACGTGCTGCTGCAGACCCGAAGAGCTCTACGCAGAGGCGCACCATGCCTTGTGCGGACGGTGAACTGTGCCATCAACCAGACAGAACGCCGCAAGCCCCTCATGGCCACGTCTGCAAGGGAGGATGTGGCGGGCGGCTCCACGGCAATTGCGGCAGCGTTTTTCAGGACGACGACAATCACCGCATCTGCGGCACGTGCGTCGCGAAGGCTGGCAAGCGCAAAGCGACACCAGCTGAGGGTGCTGGGGCGGGACCATCTCAGCGCCCGAAGAAAGCCAAGGGTGGGGGTGGCAAGGGTTCTGGTTCTCGTGCGCGGCCGGACAACAACACGAAGCTTGAGATTCTCAAGTTGATGGATGACAAGGTCTCTTACACGCAGATTGCAGACCGCTTCCGGTGCTCTGTTCGGTTTATTGAGAGGGTGAGGGCTGACCGCAAGCTTATCGAGGCGGCGGCTGCTGCAGGTGGCGGTAGCCAGAAAACTGCACGCAACCCGGAAAGCCGGTCGGGGGGGAAGCGTTGAGCGCGATCCAGGGTTGGGTTACCATCGAAGACGACGATGAGGTGGTAGAGGCTCTTCGACTGGACGCGGTGGACGACATGACGGAAATGCTGGCTGGAATGTACGTGTCTTCCGGCTGCGAGGAGGGCGGGGAGGAGGGCGAAGAGGCGGACGGCGGTGGCGACGAGAACACGGGGCGCGAGCGCCGTGCTCCACCGCCTTATGATGAACTGTCGTCTCACTTCGGCGTCCTGGAAGTGGCAGCAGAGGAGAGTGGCAACGGAGAGGCGGCGTTCTACATGTACCTAACGAAAGCAAAAATGGCGATGATCGCAGCGCATTCCGCTGAGCGGGCGCGCCAGGCAGACATGAGAGAGTTTGTCGAGACGTAGTGAGGGCGGGGGGTACATGGTTGTTTTGTTTTTCTTGCGGTGCGCTTCCTGTCGTGCTTGTCTTGGTTTGTTTTGTGTTTTTTTTCTTGCAGTATCGAAGCGGGTGCGCCAGGCAGGCATGAGAGAGTTTGGTCACCACGTAGTGATGGAGGGTACAGCTGTTAGTACATGGTTGTTTGTTTTTTTGCAATGCGCTTCCTGTCGTGTCTCTTTTCCTGTTTTTTGTGTTTCTATGTATCTTGCAACATCAAAGGAAGGCAACGAGGAAGGAGAAAGGCAACGAGGAATGATATTTTAGCTTCGTCCACTACATATTAATACGCTATAAACAATTTCGATCGATTTTGTGCTCTGTTAGCCCCGCAAAGCGAGAACGCCACACCATGAAGTCAAAGAGTGCCTCAGTAGTGCCAAACCTGCACTATTGAGGGATTTCCAAAGCCTCAGTAGTGCAGGACCTGCGCTATTGAGGCACTCTTAAGAGTAGTGCAGGTGCCCGGTATAGTGCAGGTAAAATTTCTGGACACACCCCTGCACTATACGGGGACCAGTACTGTACTGTGTATCCATTTGAAGGACAACGATCAGCAGTAATGATTCTTACATACCAACTCATGATTCTTGCATACCAACTCAGCTCTGGCGCTCTTTGCGGTTATCCCATACCATATGTCACAAGGAGCTGGGGGGAGGGGGGTGTCTTCATGTAAAGGCATGCCGTAGCCATTAGACTATTGACCTCGTATCCCTACAATGCCGCGACGGAGCGATACGTTTGTCGTATTTTCGCCGGCCTACGCTACGCTTCACAAGGGTGAACCAGAAGCTGGTTATCATCGTCATCCTTGCATTTGCTGTGCCGAACCAGACATGCCATAGGTTTTGAATGGGGATCCCGGCTAACCAAACGTTTCACACTCGGCAGGCACGCGACTACCGCAAGGAAACTTCGATCTTTGCGCCAATGTACAAAAGTCGCGCCACACACCGCGAAGAAGATGTGATACACTCTTGGAGTATATTGTGCTTATATATTTCAGGTGGAAAAGTTCCATTTGAAGGAGAGGGGTCGGGTGGGGGTGGGGGCGGGGGGGGTACTCATGGCCGTACACGGTGGGGGGTCTTCTCACCCCCGGGTTTGATAGTGGTGAGCTCCTTGTCGAGGGGACCGAAGCGGGCGAACTCGCGGACGAGCATCTCGGTGGTGATCGCGCCGCCCTCCAGTCCGCCGACGTACAGGGACGTGTTCTTCTGCGCCCAGCCCACTCGCACGCGCCGGCCGCCCAGTTCGACGCCCTGCGTGCACAAGCACCATGACGTTATTAGTAGCGCCAATGCGGGAATCCAAAGGGTGGGGGTGATGAGCAACGCTTTATCCCAGGGAAATTAATTGGCGGAAGAAATGTGCCGTACGCAGACAAGTACGGATGAGAGGAGATCCATCCGCGTGGTCGGAAGCCTGCCTGCTCCTGCCTCTGACCGACAAAAAAACGTGATTTTTCATCCATTTCTGTAAGCGTACCAGGCCGGTTCTCTTCTCCCCAGCAACAAAGCCCTCGAAACGACAAACGTCACCCACAAAACCATACCTGCATGGCCTCTTTGGCAGCTCTCGCCTCCTGGTGCGACGACAGCTTGACGAAGCCGTACCCCAGGTTCTTGCCAGTGGCTCGATCGCGCTTGATCGACACCGACATCACCTGATTCATAACACCAAGACAGGTAATACAAGCAACTCTGTTGTTTTCGTTCTCTTCACATTAAAAACCGTTCCGGTCTCCGCTCAGTACCTCTTAATGTCCGTACTGTACTATACTATACTATACTATACTATACTATACTACTATGCTATAACAGTACAACTGACGCGGACGACTTCCGTGGTCACAAACCAACTGCCCCCACACAAGGGGGGGGGTACACCTTTCAAAAAATTAACATGGACACCAGAAAAATTCCTCCAAGGTGCGATTTGTTTTTCTACCCAAACGAAAAGAAAAAAACACCTATCGAATCAAAAATACACCCCGGGCACAATCATCGCGCGTGGATACATTGCCGGTATGTCTTGGAAATAGAACCGTGTACGGAAGTGGAAAGTTCAAACGACACTTGGTAGTATGACACTTGCAACCAAATTTCGCCACCACAAGACAGAAACAGGCAGGAGCAATATTATTAGCACAAGAAAATACAAGTAAGACAGTCGAATGCCGTAACATCATCATTGTCGATCACGACTGCCGTAACATCATCATTGTCGATCACGAGACCAGACAGACCAGACAGACAGACAAGACAGACAGACAGACAGACAGGTAGGTAGGCAAAGACAGGCCGACCCTACCGTAACAATATTGCAAATCACAAAAGAGGCCAGACAGATACTGCATGATAAGACCAAGACAGAACAGGCAAGACAGGCGGATACCGCGACACCATTGTCCAGCACATCAAGAGGCCGTTGAGCTTGGGACACACGCACAACAGCAGTACCGCCGGACGTAAAAACCGGCAGGCGGGAAGGTATGCACCAGGACACGTTGCACGTAAACCCGTACATTTACACGGACGCTCCGACGGTCTTACCGGGAGACGGCAACACTCGCAAGCAGACAGACCCCCCCCCCCCCGCCCAGCGCCCGTCATCACGGACCGAAAGGGCGAAATTACACGTGTGATAGCCTATCTACCCTCCCCGTGTGGTTGTCTCGAAAAGCGATGCGGTGAGAGAGTCACGCAGCTTTACTCGCTCCAAGGTGCGTGTCTACGTTGTGCCTTGTGCCTTGTCTTGTCACTCTAACAGACTGCTGCCAAGAGGCTGCCGACGTCGCGAGGAACGACCGTAGCGTACGACCAACCGCGCAACCCCACAGTACACCGCTCGTACACCTAACGACGTGGCGTGATCACGACCTACTTCAACGAAACAAAAAGTGCTTGCGTCACTACACTGCAACCGGCATTGAAACCACCGCCAATTCACGTGTACACAAAATCCTTGTTACATCAGATGGGGTGGGGGAGGGGGACCTGGATTCGGGTTGATTCCAGAAAGAAACGGACACCAAAATGAGAAAAAAAATGTGCTACCGTGACGAATGAGAAAACTTACCTTCCTCGTCAAAAAAAAAAAAAATCATGATACAGAACTACTACTGTGTGGCGAGTTGAGACAGCTCACCCTCCCGTGTTGTTCGAAGGCCTTCTCGAGCTTCTCCTCCGTGAGGTTTCTCGCCAGGTCACCGACGAAGAGGTTGCACTCCTCCGGCGTTCCCGGGTCGTCCTTCAGGCTGTTCGTCGATGCCTGCGGAGTCCAAACAGGAAACAAAAAGACAACGACGATGACGATGACGATGACCGACCGGCGTCTCTACGACTCCCCGAGCAGCGTACAATACATCCATGTTTTTTTGTTTTTTTTTTGCGGTTTTGGGGACGCAAACAAACTAAGCTCCGAGTGTGAAAGCTTTCGTATTCCTTACAAGAGGCGGCAAGGCGGTGGTGGGGAAGCGGGGAGCACTACAAGATGTTGCTGCTGGCCTTGGGTGCATTTTTCTCGGGGCGGAGAAAATTCCATTCCTTCGCCCACACAACAGGCACAAGGTACGTGACCGATTCCAGCGGTGGCGGCGAGGTCGATAATCACGTAGCCCACTTGCTGTCGTCTGCCTTTTTCTTTTTCCTGGACCCCTCACTACGCATCCCTCCTGAGACGACGCACAGCAGTTCCTACTCCTAGCGGCGAAATCTACGCGTCGAAACCGAGCAAGGAGCTTGAACGAGGATGCGCTGCCGCAGATTGCAAACGCAGAAAAAGCTACCCCCGCCGGAGCAACCGGCGTTTGCACCCATAAAAACACCACACACACACGAGAGTGATATATTTATGTCTGCACCAACAACCCCCCCGGGGTTGATTTATTTATGCACCAAAAACACCCTGCGAAAGTTCCAGTAGTTGTATTCGAGTCCCACTTCAAGTCGCCGGTCGTTGGAAATACACGAAAAGAAGGCAAGGCGTGTGAGAACGACGTCGGGCACAAAAGCAGCCGCTTTCGGTCAGTCATTCCTCCCGAAGACAAAACAACGCATGCTCCTTTCTACCTGCAGCGAGCAAGCACTACCCGCATCGGCGAGTTAACCGCAACCTACACACACCACCCCGCTAGCCTAACTTTTCCGTGCGAAAGCACACACACACACACACGCCGAACACAAAACTTTTCGCACCTCTTCCCCCACAGATTCTGCGTCACCGTATTCTCCTTCTGCCTGCTCGCCCCCCGCCGCGGCCGCGGCCGCGGCCGCGACCGGCGGCGGCGGCGCAGCTTTCACGGCATCACCACCCACTACCCCCTCTGTCGTAGTCGTCGCTGTCGGCAGCGCTTCGTTCAACTCGCTCATGCTGCCCAGGGCGTCCGCGGGATTGTCAACAACCTCCTCACCCGCTCCGGCGGAACCGGTATCTACCGCAGCTGGTACGGGTTCTGGGGTGGCGGTGAGGGGCGCGGCCTCTGACTCTGCCGGGGTGGAGGGTGTGCTTGATGCGGCGGGCGGCGCCATCGATGGAGACGGCTGCGGGAAATGAGGATCAGCATATGGGGGGACGAGGACGAGGACCAGGTTATATTTGGTGGGCGCGAGCTCGCACAGCAGTGAGAGCAAATGAAACAATGAAACACCCGGCGAAGACCGTAGGAGGCGGAGAGATTTCGCATACCCTTAGATCAACTTTCGAATTGCTCCGAACCCGAGTGCACACCCAAGTGGATGCGGAGAGAGCTCGGTATGTACGTCTACGGAAAGCCCTGGGCGATAGATATGTTTCCGAAACCACTCCATAGTTTGGTGTCGGCGAAAACAAGCTTTTTGGTCGTGGAGCAATCGAACGTTCAACATCGGTCTAGGGAGGGTGACATCTCTCCGCCTCCTGCGGTAGCCTTTCCGACAGCGAACAGGCGACAAGTTAGTTATACCGCGCACAGGGGTCGATTCACTACCCATACTGGCGCTCACCGTAGGGCGTGTGTGACTATACTGATGCTGTAGCACTCGAGGGATTGATCGCAATTGCACACAGGCTGCTGCTCTAGGCTGCGCATGCAAAACCAACGGAGATGACTCAGAGGAGAAGAACAGACTGAAGATAAGGATGTGCTACATTGTATCGACAGCGAGAAGAGCACGCCAGTCCAGTCCAGGCCGTCCGTTAAATCACTCATTGTTCTGATTGTCTGTCGGAGATGGGTGCACAACAACTTCTTCTCTGCATATGTTCTCCTTCGGAGGTTTGATGGAACCTTATCAATCATAACAGACAAATTATTTGTTTTTATCTTTTTTCATGATGACAGACACGCTTGTTTTTTTGTTCCGTCGAGACGCGCTGTTGGTCTACGGTCGAAGCGGAGAGAGAGAGAGAGGAAGAGAAAAGCACGGCAGGCGGTGAGCATACGCCAAAGTAGGCACACAGAACAGACCTCGCATATACTCCCGACATCTCTCCAAAGCCCGTCTATATGCTTCACACGTGTGGCAGGGCGGGCTGCATGTAGGAGGTACGAAAGGACTCTTCTCGGCGTCTTCTTTCTTTGTGCCTCCCGTGCCTACACAAACTACAGTAGATGAAGTTGCTCCTGTATAGGTTACCCAACAACAAGTGGCTACAATATATTGTAGGAGGCACCGACACAAGAATGCAGACAAGAACTTCGACGGAGACCAGGCGTCGAGTACAGAGAGAAAGAACCCTTGTAAGGTGCGATCATTTGCCGACGGCGAAAGCACCAGAAGCAGCCTCCCCTCGTGGGGGCGCGTTTTTTATTCCATTCCGCCGACGAGTGTGTACCGTAGAGGTTGCGAGTCAGCGCACAGGGGTGCGAACGATTTTCAAAGCGAAATTTCTCCACAACCAGGAGGTTACCACTGCTGTCGAAGAGGACGGTTTTGGGAGTACCTCATCGACAGCTTTCCTGAGAAGCATCAGTTGGCGCTCGCACCCTCCTAGTTGTTGAGAAATTACGCTTTGAAAATCGATCGCGTGCGCTGACTCGCAACCTTACGGGTACAAACATCTACAGCAGCGGCGTGGTGGGGGGTGGAAGCGATTTCTTAGAAAATGTATATACATACAACTGCAGTACAAGTAGTCACGCTGAAAGACCGGCCGAGAGCATATTGTACCAGTCGGAGGGATGTTGTGTTCAATCAAGCTTTCGCAGTGAGCGGGGGAAGAACGCTCCCCTGTTAATAGTGTTATCCGTTCTTATCTTTACGACGCGCGCGAGAGCGGCGATCAAAGCGCGCAGAACCCCCGCACTCGTGTGGCAAAAGAAGGGGTGGACAATTGATTCCGATTTGTGGCACACCACAAAGCATGCCCACATATATGTTAAGCAGAACAGTAGTACAGCGTCTATGTACATTCCAGTACTATTTGCGTACAACAACCTTGTACATTTACGGCTGTTGCTGCTGCTGCTGCCGCTGCTGCCGTTCAACAAAAATAAAAGTTCTGTTCGATCGAGCAATCATGTGCGCTAAATGCTGGATCAGGACCAGTACAATATTCCCTCGCACCTCCGCTACCGGCTGTTCGACGCGTTGGCTGACGGGTAAGGGCGTTGGAGTCTTTCCGTTCGGGGCCGGAGTCAACGTCTTCGTGGTGGATGCGACCGGAACGCTTGTCTACCAGCACCCAAGCAACGAGAGAGGGAGAGAGATGCGACAGGGGGGCGAATAAGTGCGGATTTTGTGGAGGTTTGGTCGAAGTATACTATATACTAGATGTTGGATCACTACATACAGGAGCCGGCGTTCGTTTTTGGAAGCGAATCTGAAAAAAAAACAGGCGAAAAAATACTGCACACTTGTCGTCGTCGTCGTCGTGTGTATCATCATCACACACGGACGGCTGAAAAAACAATCGGGAGATCGGTGTCATGGGTCCGAAGCAGCCGCGCCTGCCTGGAGTCCCACGGGGAGGCCGGCCACGCCGGTACGTTGTTCGGTGAAGCATGCAGAAGGTTTGAGACAAAATAAAGAGCTGGGCAAAGCTCCATGCACGACGAACCAAAATTAGTTGTCTCGATCAGTCTGTCTCCGCGGCAGGGGGGAGAAAGAGAGGAAAGAGCTAGAGTTCCCGATTTCGGAAGGGCGGACGAGCAATTCGTTATACTCGCAGTTTTGTCCCGCCCGCCGCGCGCAAACACTCCGGCGCGCACGCCGCCACCCACCCCCCTGGATGCGCACCTCCCCTACCACTACTTGCGCGTCACGCTGAACGGGGCGCTCTAACACTAAAGGGTGACGACAACGACACACACACGGGATGCAGCGCATCGGATTTTAGTTCTTCTCTCGTATCCCCGGCACCAAGCACAGCAGAGAGAGATCGCCCACCTCGATGATCTGATGGGGATCGTCGGCAGCAGCGGCGCCACCAACAACAACGGGTTCTGGCGAGCTCGCCGGGAGAGGACGAGGAGGAGACGACGGCGCGTCTACCAGCGACATAAACCTGCTGCCATCACCACGAGAGGCGACGTCGTTGAGAGAAGAGAGACGGCAGCAGGCAGAACAGCAGGCAGCAAAAAACAGAGTGAGGTGGGATTTGGGGGGAAAAGTCAAAGTTGAAGGGTCACATACATATTGCTGGAGACAGGGGCGACCGCTACCGCTTTTTTTTCATCATTTGTTGCAAAAAACGTCAACCACGACACCAGGCTATCTAGAGCAGGACCAGCAGCTAGCTGCAGCAGCAGCAACAGCAGCAGCAGCAGCAGCAGCAAGCGGCACCGGCAAACTCCAAAGATCCCTGCGAGCAGGTCGCTCGGCCGCCTGCAGCAGCCTATGTGGGCACAGCCAGAGGGCGCGCACACATGTATACGCCTTTGGTGCTGCCCCCCACATTACAAGATTGTGTACATAGATAAGACACAGGCCCGAACTAAATGTCGCGCCAACAATATATCTTGCTCGCCCGCCATCTCCAGAAGCGAACGCTACTGCTACTACTCTGCTAGCACACGAGGAAGCCCGCTGCGTCATGTCGGGGGGATGAGAGGCGACAGCCAAGCCCTTGCACTTTCGCTGAGAACCATTGTTCGGTCGTCGTGCGTGTGGACGAGAGAGGGAACTCGCAAGGTTGTCCAACCCGAATCTATCTTCGGGTCAACCCGCTGTACAACCCGCGGGAGGCCGGCCTCTTGCACGGTTCAAGCACCAGCGAGCTTGACAGAGAGGCCGTCGCGCTTAGCCAGACCGCTGCCAGCGGGCGCTAGTATGCCCCCCGTCCCACGGCGGTCGTTCACCTTCGTCTCGTGGGTCAGCGCCTTCCCCTCGCGGCTTCCTCACGCGGCCTACAGAACGTGAAGGCTGCTGCTGTTGTAAGTACCAGCCGAACACAACACACGTGGTTTTCTCAGGATGGCCCACTCTTCTTTTTCAGCTGTCGATCTCTCTCCCTACAACGGCCCTCTCTCTCGACCCGCAGCGCGTCTCTCTTTCTCTCTCTCTCTCTCTCTCTCCCCCTCCGCGTGTGCGTGTGTGCTTCCAGCAGCGGCGAACGCGGCCTCTCGATCCACTCTGTGCCGTCCCTCGCTGCGGTGCTGTCTCAGGGAAGGAAGGGTGTTGGCTTCGGTGTGTGCTCGAAATCGAAGACAAAAAAAAACAGAACACTAAAAAAATGCAGCAAAGAGATGTATCTCACGTTTCGTACGTCCCCCCCCCCCCCCCCCCCTTAAACCCCGAAATTACCGGTGTGCACCTGCCACTCGTTGTTGATTTGTTGCAATTGTACGTTGCTATAAACACGGCGGGCGCAAAGAGAGCAAGAGAGTAAGGCGTTCGCCCCGTCTCACACCGTATAGGGTTGCGTACAGGACACACACCGGTTCTGTCGGATGTTCAGTACATCGACAGCCACATACTGGTGCAGAGAACAGCAGTTTGTTTGTTGGTGGATGGCGGCCGAGACGAGACCGGGACCGCTTGATTTCCAAAAGAGAACCAGCCGAGATCTACGAATATCTCAGATCGCGCATACATCTGTCTTAGTAGAAGCAGTCTGCTGTAGATACTGTAGGTCAAGATCTTCTCCTCTCTATCCTTCTACACTCGATCGATACACGACCCTGTGTCCCAGTTCCAATTCAAGAAGAGGCAAGGGCAAAGCATTTGTTGTTGGGGAGGGCTGTGGCAATATACGCACAAGCGGCTTCGGTGGATACCGGCGTGTGGTGTTATACTGCTTCTGTCTGTCGTTTTCTAAAAATTCATGGAACGTACGATCTGATATGATCATCGCAGGTCTGCACATCATGTGTTGTTCACCGTCAGCATCAGCAGCAGCCCGGCCAAACCGCTTCAAGACGTGCGCAACAAACTCTTTGGTCCACGCTGTTGCTGTTTGTACATGCGGAATTCTGATCTTCATGTGATCGCTACAGTACATACAAGTTAGACATACCATAAACGAACTGATCGTCTACATACACATTTTGTAAATATACCTCGTCGTCGGTCAGATAACTAACTGCTGTGTTCTCTCTCCTGTCTGCACACTTATTATTTCTTCTCCGCGGGTGTGTACAGGAGACTTCTCTTAGCTGCGGCTTTTAAGCTACAGCAACCGTGGCAGGCAAGGCATCCGTCTCCCGCCAGTGAAGGCATCCATTCCCGTCATGAGCTATCAACAATCGCATCACGGGTGAGTGCGCGTGGTGTGGCCTCGAGCTCTCTCTTTTCCGGCAGTTCGGTGATTGGGCTAGAGTAGACTAAAACGCGTACGCGATGTATGCAAATGTACTCCAAACAGGATACACAAGCCTCTCCCGCTTGTATCTACATTTCTACAGCATATCTTTATCTTTGGACGAGACTCTCGGGAGCCCTAGCCCTTGGAACGCTAGCATGCTGTACCCTGTGCAGAACCAGGGACGTGACCGTACTGGAAAGCCTCTGTTCTGATTTGCTACATATAGTCTATACCCCCGCCAACCACAGGATGTTCGCGGACCATACAGTTAGTCTCCACACATACCTGTCTACATGTAGTCTACGACAAGGCAGGCACGCCAGATCATCCAAGGCAGGCACGCCAGATCATCACATCATACGGTGTCTCGATTTGTATCACGGAAGTGATTGCTGCATATATATGTGTTGCACTGCACCAAAGACTTCCCCATGTTCTCCGACTGTCGTCGCTCACGTACTGTTTCTGCATGCATAGCTGTAAGTCTAATACTTACAGCAGCATTGCCGCTTCCCTCTCCTCTCCGCGCCGGGAACAAGCCAAAGAAGTTCTCCGACCGTATCTCATGTCTACCCCGTACTCCGTACCGTTGGATGGATGGAGGAGCCCAAGATTTCCGGGTTGCTACTTACAGTGTAGTACACCAAATATGTAGTACAACCTTGCCCCGTATTGGTTCAACAACGACAACATGAATGGATCAGGTCGGACGAGGACGATGAGTCCGAGAACGAGGAGTCGACGAGTGCTGTGGAGAGCGTGGAAGGCAGCGTGGAAGATTCTTCGTCGTCAAGCGAATCGGAGACGGACGGAGACCAGGACATGGAAAATTGCGAGGACATCGAGGTCGACGATCGCAAGGGTGCCGATGTCCTGCTCAATATACATGACCAGCTCGACCTTGACAAGCTTCAGGAGGTAGGTAGATAGGTGACCTGGTGTCATATGCTGACGGGATGTCTTGTTACAAACAGTAAACGGTTGAACCTAAAACATCAATGCTGAGTTTTTTTTTGTGAAGGCCCATGTTTGGGGCCAAAATGACGAAATTGCCGCACCGTTATCCTTTTGGACTATCTTGAAATACCTCGAGTTGGGCAGAAGTCATCCCAACTTTTTCCATGATGCAATCGAAGCGCTTCTTCGTTGTACAATATCGAAACAGACGGGGAGATGGCACCGGTCGGGGAGGTGGCACCGGTAGGGGAGATGGCGCCGGGGTGCGCAAAAATAAACCTACATACGTAGAACCGCATGGTTTCCGCACCGCGGGGTGACATCTCACCAACCCCCAATTCTAAGATTGAGCTCCTTTGAGCTGCCCGAAAGAGGTACATGCGTACCTTGTACATGTGGGGACGGCGTAAGGGGAGCGCCAGTCTCTCACGTATGTATGTACGGTCGCGGTTCACGGGGTGTCAGTTGTTTTCTGTTAGTTGGTATGGAAGTTGCCAACCGTACACCCGTACCTCACCTTAAAACAACGAAATCTATGCTGCTGCGTACGTACTGATATTCGTAGAGGAAGACCGAAACGAAAGCGGGACACAACCTAAGGATGCCGTTTTGTGCCGACACCCCTGATGGAAACCACATCACCTATTGCCTTGTCACGCCATAGTCAAACTCGCATTGACACCCACGGTCACTTGCTATATGGAGAGCTGCCACGTACTAGCCTACGTTGTCGTCACCGGTGTGCTCACAGCCAGCAACAACCGTAACTACACCGCCCGCACTAAGTGTAAATACACTGGCAAGTGCTCAGAGGCGGAGAGATGGCACCGGTCGGGGAGATTGCACCGGGGTGCGTGCAAACAATGCCGCCGATCACAGTAGCACATGTGGAAAGAGGTTGCCTGACAAACATCGGCCGGGGGGGGAACCCTCGGAGAGCGTTACAACGTATCACATGATTCTAAGGCATCCCTCTCCCTTTCAGATTGCTTGGGCACAAACCATACCACCATGGACATTTCAGCAAGTCGCCACGTTTTAACTGAAATGGGGGGACCAACCCTGATAACCTGTCCTCTCCATAGGCACAGCAACAGAAATGAAATGAAGAATCACGAAGACCCGATTCTCCACGTCAGAAACGTCCACATATCTCAAAGGGGTTGTGGCGCCTGCTAGATGATACAGATAGCGCCCGCACGTAAGAACTTAGGAGTTAGGAAATTGAACCTCGAAAACATTCAGAGTCTAAGAACTGCACCATTTGTGAGCCCGGTCAAGAACCCCTTACACTCAACCTATATAGCGGCTATTTGTAGCCCACAAGAGGAACTATAATAAGAACCCCAGCCTTGGCCCAAACTAGAGGTCGGCATCTGTATTGCCCCGGATCTATTGCGCCTTGGCCGGATCCCAAACAAGCTCTATAAATAGGTCCGAATCCCAAACATCTGTATTGCTCCGGATCACAAGCTCCATGTTTCTGATTGTCGCGCCTTGACCGTGTTCTTTGATCGACCTTCCAAAGATGAAGAGGTTCTTCATTGCTGACGATGACACTTCGGGGGCGTACGCGGAGCTCGATATGAAGCAATTCAGCGACGTGAGTATCAGGGCACGGTCGTGTTGATCCCTCGCCACCACCACCACCGCGACCACAACCACAACCACGAAGGCGTGAAGCGACATATCCGGTCTGCGGCCTACGGGTCACAGCAGATTTCCGTATCTTCTTCAGATGCCACGCACGGTCTTCCTCGGGCGGTAGTTGGCGTAATGCCTGAGGGTGGTGTCATTGCGCGCTTTAGGTTTTTGAAGACAGATTTGTTGATATATGTTCGACATCGAAAGGGAGAGAGGAGAGGGGAGGGGTGCGAACCTAAGACAAGCATTGGTTTGGATGTGGTTGTTGACATTAGGTACTCTCGAATTCTCTATTCCTCTGTTTCCGGCGTTACTTCGTGTACATCCTCTCGGGAATCGAATAGACTCCTAAAACGTGTCCCGTCTTGTCGTCACGGTGCTCTCTGCTCTCTGCCTGAGCGCCGCTTACAGGGCCGTAGGGGGGCATACACCTGTTCGACTAGGGGTACCGTGTGTGCTTCCCCCATGTCATGTGTGTGGGTCAAGACGTACGTTTACACGGTGTTGTGATTTTTTTGCACCACGGGCTCTGCCGTGTGTGGTACACCCCGCGCGTAGTCGGTGGACGTGGTTGGTATGCCCCGCACATCGGGTGATGGTCTCGGAAGTGGTTCTCGGTTTCCCCTTCCCCACACTACCTTCTCCCCTCCGCCCACCCAACCACGCCTTGGCAGGCGCTGAGGTCAGTTCTGCCCGATATCGAGGACCTGACGGATGAAGACCTCGGGCTACTCTTCATGAAGATCGACGCCAACGGTAGCGGGGACGTCGATTGGGATGAGTTCACCGGCTTCCTATTGCAGGTAGGTGAGGCAGAAGTGTCACCGAACACTTATTGTTGCCGTTGTTTTAAAAGATCGAATCGTTGAGCATTTCGTGAAAGTCCGGGTGCCGCGTGCGTTGTGTGTCGTGCTGTTCTTCCCTTGCTCTTACCTTTGAGAATTTACGCCGTTGTTTCTCTGCGTCACGATTGAGCACGAAGTTCAGCTGGTGCTACTCCTTCTCCACACGTACACGATTTTTTGAAGCAATCCTTCGTCGAACAGACATTAAAACCTATCTGTTAGGGGCCGTCGAAACCTACATCCATGGATCGATCGATCGTTCCACTAGAGTCTGTGGTACGCTATAGTTCGTACCTGATATGCCTGACCAGAGAACACAGACGCCGCGTCATGCGTCGCCTAACTGGTGCGGTACCGGTTTGAACACACGGCCGAACTCCTAGCATAGACTACAAACACACGGCCGTACTCGCCTTGCCCATCCTGTTCTTACAACGGACCGGCAGCTGGATGAGGGCAATCGCAACATGGCGGCGGCCGCACACATGGTGGACCTAAAGCCGCTGCCCAGGAATCAGCGGGCGGGGGCCGATGAGCACGCAGGACAACACCGAGATATGATCGAAAAGGTACATATTCATCAATGAACCCACGGTAAGCACGGTAGTCGTGGTGAGGGAATTCGACATAATCCACGTGTGTGTTTCTTTCCGAGCACTTTCTTTTCCCGGAGAAATAAAGGAGAACCGTTGCCCAGGCGGGTAATTGGGTGGGCGATTGCTACTGTACCTCAATTTGCCTTACCAGCCAAGAACTCAGGTGACCGTAAACGTGTCAGTCCCACATGGAACTACAAGTTTTGCGCGCTTGCATGCCTGTTCGTGGGCTTCAATGAATCCATCGTCAACAGCCCTTGCCGGGTTCCTCTTTGCGCTCTCACATTTGAAGGTTCGAGCTTGTTACATACCTAGAATGCTTCTACCCATATTACTCGCCCCCCAGAAGCCACTAGGGTCGCATTTTTGGTAGACAAAAAAGAACGTGTGCACAGCAGCTGGAATTCGCTGAGATTTCGAAGTTCGCGGTCGCTTAGTTCGGTGGAGGGGGGTTATATGCCAGGCCGGCTCGTTCGCACTCTCCCGGGCACGCGCACTATCACCAACAGGGCGTTCATAGTACAGGAGGGGCACTGTTCAGGTTTCGAGATGTAGCCTCGATAGCGTGGATTTCGCCCTGAGGTGCAGATTCAGCCACAACAAAGGGGCGGCAGAAGAGAGGAAGAGATAATTGTACCACAAGACAACCAATGGTCTGACAAGAACAATGTACGTATTGGTGTATTGCGTGTCCCTCACAAATGATCCTTAAACAAGTATGGAAACAGATCGGCTGGCGCACAACGTATGCCAGAGAGGGCTTCTCAGGGAAGAGTCATAGCGTGCAGTGTACATCGCGTTCGTTGTGACGCTCCCTCTCGATCAACATCAGAAGGCAAAGAAGGGGGTTGCACGCGTTTGGGTGTTGCTGTGCTGACCATTGCGGCTGCTCCGCATACACTGCACTTGCCGCTGAAGGTGATCAACGTCGAACGGCCAGGCATCAGTGCATACCTGACTTGCGGCAGGGACGGCGCCATCAAGTTCTGGAACAAGGGCACCTTTGCCCACTACCGTACTATCCGGCATCTCGACACAATGAAGGCCGCCTACGAAATCATCATCACGGTGAACGGGTGGAAAGGGCGAGCGACTTTTGGCGTAACATGTATGCTCTTGTTTTTGTTGGTTTTAGTACCCTTGCCACTTATTCTAGTTGGCGTGGTCACGTGTATTCTCCCACAGATAACTCTTGTGAACCATTCTACCTTCTTACGTTGTTAATCTTTTCTCGGAGTATTTTCGTGTCTCAGGGTTGTTATTGTTGTGTTGAGGTCGTTCGTTCTAGCACTCCTCGATTTAAACCGGGAAAGTCCCGCCTCAGCACGGGAGAAAAAGAGGGCGGTGAGGTTGGTATGAAGTGAAAGTATGTGATCCGACGTGTTTCGGCCGTCAACACCCCTGACATATCGGCAAGCACTTGTGACTACACAACGACAATGGAGTCGTTGCCCGGCGTTCCTTTCTCTCGTTTTCCCATTCGTTTTCCCAGGGGGGTAAAGGCAGAGAGGTGGACGGGAACGGACGAAGAGTCTGCTCGGCGGAGGTGAACAGAGCCGTCAAATCGATGAAGTCTGCCTGGATATACGACATCCAACAGGTAACCTTGTAAGCAAGACAGGAAAGCAAATATGCTGACAGTGAAATTCGCCCAGAATGGATGATCTCCTACACCCTGGGCGGTTGAGTGACGAAAGTTTACTGGCATATCCGACGTGGGGTGAATGATCGCGTGTTCTCCCGCAATACATCGTGCGGGTGAGTGAGCTGAATGGGAGAGGACACAAAAACCAACTATACCAACTATTGCAAAACGCTATATTTTGGCTTGAGAATTCTGGGAGCCGGTCGCCGCCGTGATTCCGTTTGCGTACTCTGTGCGTCAACGTTGTGACGGCTCGGTCTGGATTTCAATCCCCCGCGAAGTGCGTTTTTTTCTTTTCATGCAAGGTAGTCTCGATTTTTGGCTTCTTTGTGAGCATGCTTAACCAATTTAACTCCTGGGGCCTTCTCGCGTTCAAGCCGGACGCAGGCACCAGCGAGGATCATATTTTTACGGTTAAGAAATGCACGGTCGCGCTGTTGTTTGAACCTGCAACCGACGGCTACATAAGCCCTTTTGGGGATGAATGAAGAAGATTTGAGGTTAACGGATTATTGTCGGGCCAGCCAACTTGCTGCCAGGTGTTTCTTGCTGCAGGGTTTGTTTTTGTTACAGTAGCGTGACCATGAGACAGCCGATCCGCTCCTCTACGTATCCTACCTGTTACAGCACAAAGAGGCAAACGTACCGGCCATGCTTCGCCAGTCGCGGTGTTTTTTCTTCACGAGTCTCTGTTCCCCGCGAAAAGAGAGGAGAGTTTCAAGGGTATCGACTCAAACGCTCTGTCATCTCGTACCACCTGTGAGAAACAAACGCAGGAGAAAAACATGAAAGCAGTTACACACTTAGACACGAACAAATCATACACCATGTGTAGTACATGGGCAACTGCCAATCAATCCCATGTTTGTTGTCCTTTCTTGTCTTCTTCTTCCCGGTATGATATTGGCAACCCTGTTTCCCCCTCCCTTCCTCCCTTCTCTCGGTCGACGGTGTCTGCACCTTCCCGCACCGCTACTGGGGTGGTGACTGGCGGCTCCTGTCGCACCGGCGGTGTCCTCCTTCCCAACTGCAAACGGGTGGTCGACCGGCCGGCCTTCCGATCGACTAGATGCCCCTCTCGAACAGAATCGCGGCGGCTTGTTTCGACCGCACCGTGAGCTTCTACGACGTTCTCACGGGGGAGTTCGTTTGCCGGATCGGTGGCCTACGCTCGTCCCCTACTTGCGTGGACTGTGTCGAGGTAAGACCAGCCAGCGGTTCGTTGTTGCGTTGGCTGCTGCATGCCTCTCTGCGTAGTAACCATGTTTGTTGTCCAGGGCCAAAGGGTGTTCCTTTTCCTTTGTTGTCATCTACCACTTGTGTGTCGTGTTGTGCTACAGATTCCAGCCTGAACCATACAGTACCTTGTCGAAGCCGGATCGCTCGTGGTGCCCACCTTTGCTGCTATATGGGGTACAACTCAATTTCTCCGCCTCGTGTTTTCACAGACTGGGGCCAACGAGCAGCAAGTACTATTCGGAGACCTGGATGGCGTTCTTCATGTGTGGTCCTTCGGAAAGCACTTCTACATCCCCGGTGGGTGGGGTGAAGGCTGCACGGGGGAGGGGGGGGGGGGCGTACTCTTATGTTTTGCAGGCCTTAGCGGCTAGACCATTGACCACGCGTCCTCGAGAGGACGGAGCATTGTTCCCACAGGAGGACCGATCACCGATGGCCAATCGTTCCTTCCTACTTTGCCAAATGTGACTCAAAAATGTCTTCCCTTATCTATCTATCCTAACGATATCCCTTCCCGCCTTTTCAAACCACTACCTACTCCCCAGTACAGCTACCGTCCTCTCCTCTCTGTTCCATGCCTCAAACATCTCCCTGTACCTCCTTTCTATTTTTCCCAGCTCAGTCATGTACACTTCCCTCTCCTCTTCGTACCACGGACATTCCGCGACTACATGAACACGGTCTTCGCATTCGAAGCCGCAATCACATTTGAACTTGTCGTCTTCGTCGTCTACCGTCCTATGTCTTCGTCGACGTTCTCGAAGGCCATGTCTCCGGTCCTGAATTTGACCTTAAGCTTTGTCCCTGCATCCATTGGTCCATGTAGGTAATCCTTGAACCCTACTCCTTCTTCAACATTCCGTGCACTTCTAGACCCTCCTTATCCTCGGTTTCTTTCCTTAGATTCTGTTCTTCTCTCTCGGCACAAGCAACAGATATCTTCTCCTTGAACCCCTGTAGACCCTCCGTTTCAAGCGTTTCATCTTCGTCGATGTCGAACCCCTTTCATACGTCCTCTACAACCTTGACCCATTCCGTGGGTTGTCTACCCCTCTTTTTGTTTGCCCACTTCGCCTCCCATACTATTCTCGGCAACCTCTCCTCTCCCATCCCGCACATGCGATACTGCCATGTCAGCTTCCTTACGTCTCTTCCCGACCGTAGGGATTGGATCCCCAATTCTGCCCTGACGGCTCTATTACTTGTGCGCTTGGAGCATCCTAGAATGATTTTCGCTGCTTTCGTCTGCGCCACCTCGAGTTCTTTCACTACCTTCTTATCTCCTTCCCGTACTTCTCCGGCGTACTCTGGCGGCGATACGATTGCGCTCTTCAAAACCGTCAACTTGATGCGTGTATCGAGGTGCCGGTTTGCGAGTATTGGGTGCAGCTTCCCTGCTCGTGCTTTGCCCTTTTCCGCTTCATTTTCCGCTACCTTGAACATGTGTGCATTCCACGAGCAGTCTTTTGCGATCTCTACTCCGAGGTATGTGTACTGGTCCACTACTGCAATCTCCTCGTTCCCCCACTTCCATCTATACTCTACTGGTTCCTCCCTGTCCTCGTTGCATACCATGACGGCACTCTTCTTAACATTGGCTGACAATCTCCACTTATCAGTAAACTTCTTCGCCGCGTCAATTTGCATTTTCAGTCCCTCAAGGGGTGTCCGACATACCAACAAAATCATCCGCAAACAGCATTCCTGACACCGAAGTTTCCGTGTCCCCTACTTTTACTCCTTTTCGGACTGCCTCTACGACTTCCAACAGATCGTTGGTGAACACCTGGAACAATGTTGGGGACAGCGTGCAACCTTGTGGGACCCCCTGTTCAATGTTGAAGAACTTAGACAGTTCTCCGTCTAGCATGACCGCGCTTTTCGTACACTCTGTCATCTTCTTCAGCACTCTCCACATTTTCCCCTTGATCCCGTACTTGGACAATTGTTTCCACAGCCCATTTCTCCATACGGTATGGTATGCCTTCTTCACGTTCAGGAAAAAGCAGTACGTCGGCTTTCCCGCCCTCTTTTTACCTTGGATGATTCTCCCTACCGTGAATCCGTGGTCTACGCACCCCCTCTTCTTTCGGAAACCTGCCTGGCCCTCACTAATGCTATGTTGCTTCTCCAATATTCCCACCATCCTATCGTTCAGCAGCTTACAGAACACTTTTCCTACTGTGTTCAACAGTGTGATCTCCCTGTAGTTTCCTGGGTCAGTCTTGTCTCCTTTCTTAAACCAAATTCACAACCGCTCCTTCCCTCCATCTACTTGGCGCATACTCGTTTTTCCGCACCCAGTTGTACAGCAGTACCATCAGCTGGATCATCCCCTTCCCCCCAAACTTCATGTTGACTATCCCATTCGCCCCTGCTGCTTTGTGGCACTGCAGTTTGTTCACACACGCCTTAGCCTCGTCCTCAGTGAACTCCTTTTCTAGTTTTACGTTCCTAACGTCTGCCTTCGATGTCTCTTCTTCTTTCTGGGCCCATGCGTCCACCTCCTTCTTAAACACTTGGTCAAAAGCTTCATTCTCCGAAGGCACTCCAAGTCTCTCGTAGTGTCCTGCTAGAACTTCCCTTTTTCCCTTCCCACTGCTGACTACACAGGTGGAGGTCGACCCCCCTTCCCCAAAATGTTGGATGCCCTCGCCCCCTTGTGAAGACGTTGACAAGGTCGACCACCTTGGAAAAGACAACCAAGGCCTCGAAAATACCTCGATTTCTCCCCTTTCGAGGCCTTGGTTGTCTTCTCCAATGTAGTTGACCTTGTCAACGTCTTCACAAGGGAGCGAGAGCACCCGACATTTTGGGGAAGGGGGGTCGACCTCCACCTGTGTAGTCCACCGTTCACACCTCGCAAAGTTGCTACCCTTGTATCCCCGTATTGCGCGGTATTTTTTACCATCCCACTAATCTCTTCCCACATCTGCTTGACGTTCCCCTCCAGTCCTCCGTTGGCCTTCTGCACTACTTCGTCCCAAATGCACTTTTTCTTCTTTTTCACTAGTCCCTTCACCTGTTTTCTCTAGGCCCTGTACTTTTCCCAACTCTCCTCAGACCCCTCACTCAGGTACTGCTTGAATACTTCTCTACGTTACCCTATTTCTTCTTTCAGCTCGTCGCCCACCACTTAACCGATACCCCACATCGCACCACCTTCTTTTCCACTACTCTGTCTGCCGTTGTGTTCACTTTGGACTCCCACCCTTCGATCACCCTGTCCCCTGCTGCTTGTGCGTCTACCTGTCCGTCTTCGACGCTTCTCAGCAGTTTCCTGAAGGGTTCTACACTACCAGCCAGTCCTTTCTGGAATTCATCCCGTGTCCCCTAGTCTCCCAAACGCTCTACTTTCCACCGGAACACTTTCCTCTGTTTCTTACTCTCCATCTTTCTAGGTCGATGTTTGCCCATATAAGGAAGTGGTCGGCCGAACCTATATCTATCGCACTTACGTGCAGCTCTGGGATCTGTGTACTCCCCCTATCAACCAGGATGTAGTCGAGGATCGAGTATTCATTGCAAACTACCCTTTGCCTGGTGAACTCCGGCTTATCGCATCCCTTTCTACCGTTCAACACCATCAGCTCGTTGCTTCCCAAGAATCCAAGCATCCTCATTCCGTTGTCATTCACTTTGTCTTCTCCGTGCTGCCCGATCGTTTGTCCTCTACTGGAAGCTTCCCCTACTCTGGAGTTGAAATCGCCCACCATGACAACTTCTCCCTTCCTACTGACCCTCTGGACATCTTCCCCAATTTGTCCAAAGTTCTCCTGCAC